AGTAAGAGACTGCTGCTGGGAAACTCCCACTTCCATTGTGTCCAAGACTCGTGGGTTGTGGGATTTATTTCTGGCTACGTCCAACGTACAGCGTTGCACATCAGTCAGCGACTTCGAGCTAAACCTATGAAATGAACTCGCTGATTCCTGATCTGCAAGACTATTCACTTCTGGATTCACTATTTTACTACACAGTTTGGGTCGCGTGTTACTGGGAATAGGTATGTATTCCCTGAAGTACCGAGGTGACTTCGTAGCAAGTTACAAAAGTATAAGACGGCTCGGTTAACTGCAAAAGCGTCCAGATGAAATCCTGGATTGTCCACATCCAAAGCGAATGCAGGACGATAATAAGCGTTTTGATCATTAACAGCTTTCTCATTCTGTATCTCACCGTCGCTGAGATCATTGCTTTGACTTTTTCGGCGCAAGAGACGAAGGTCAGCAAGTTTGCTGGTCAAGCGACACTGGACCTTTAAAGGCCCCAGCTTTTTTCGTGTGCATGCACGCAGTGAGTAGGGATTCTGTTGGAGGTCGATCCAATTCAGTTCAAGCAAAACATCACCTTGGCCACCTCGCACACGTCTACTAGGCCTTAATATTTTGTACCAAATACTGACCTCTTCCAATCACCCCTGTCGCGATCTGTTGCAAGTCAGCCACACTGCTTATCTGACCAAACATCACAGTCGACTTGATTGACGACGAAACGTTTTCTTCTGCTATCCATACTGTGGAAAGCTCTTCCTTCTCACTTGGTTTTCGCCGTCACATTAACTTTTTTAAAAACGATTCGACTATACGGCATTTACATTACGTTACATGGCCTGTTTTCATCGAAGGGCGAATTAACTCAAACAGCGTACTCACCAGGCCACTCCATTACGTAGCGGTGAGTCACCTCAAACTAAAATTTTCCATTTTCCTGTCACTTCAAATCATCCCTTTAAAATCCCCGTTCTGTTCACCCTACAGGAATTGTCAAGCAATGTCTTTTTCCCATAATCAGTCACTGTGCATCGTTCGTTGTGCTACCTATCTTGGTCTACTACAAAAGGAGCATTCCAAGAGGATCCTCCGTTCTGGTAGTCAAATCCCATTGGAGTTCCACAGAGTTCGAATTCAAATGGATACTCATGCGAAATTCATGAATATCGTTCTCTGTCGTCAACGCACATCCTGGGTCATTCGCATGTGAAGATGGTGTAGGTCTCACTAACGCGTTTCCTCAGACATTTTCATCCCCTACCTGATCGATGTCCTTGGCTACAGTGGACTCTAGGAATGACCAAACAAGGAGAACAAGCGATCAGTTCAGTAACTCGATTGATGTCTGGGTGTGCCGTGTTCACATCTACCGGTGCGCCGGAAGGCACATATGTTCCATCACACAACATTGAAATCATGCTAACAGCTTTTGCGTCGTTTAAAACTAGATCATTTTTCTGTAGATAATTCACGTCAGCGCAGTGCCAATTACACACACCAACTGGACCTAACAATATGCTTCCGAGTCAACTTTGCGCAGCAAATGATCGCTTTCTTCCGCAATCTTGCCATTCAATCTGCTAATGAGCTTCATGAACGTCCGCCCCCAATCGTATCCGAACTTTGGAATTTCCCAGATCATCGAAGTGGACATCAAATAAATGTAGCCAATGACGTGCTGTCTGGCTGACAGGAACTGGCAAGGGTTCCAACGCTAGGCGACTCAGGCAATAGGCACGGTCTACAATAATACCATCTAATCCGTGTAAGGGAAATAATCAGAAGCTGCTGATACCGATGCCCAGAGAGCTACAAACATTTACTGTTTGCATTTTCAAAGAAGCTGAATCGATCTTTATTGCCGTCCTCACGGGTTGTCTTCCTAAACCCAGCTTATTTCGGAATCACTGTCCAGGAAAGTATCCGTTTCAATAGTCCGCAAGGGACCTAGTAAAACAGGGATGTCCAAACTTCGGCCAGCTGGCTAAGGTAGCCGATGCTCACATTTCAACTGGCCCGCGGCCTCATTATGAAATAATACATGCAGGCTTAGATATTTTTCGTACATGTATAATTTTTCTTACTATCTTTATGTCCAACTGAATATGGCCCGACCTATTTTTACCTCATAAAATTTGACCCTCCTTGCAAAATGTTTGCACATCCATATATTAACGGGAATTCTTCTTTTGAGAAATTTGAAACAATTAAGTCCCTTTAATAATTTGAATGAAGCCGTAAGAAGACGAACACTGGCAGATGTCAACATTTCGTATTGTCTCTTCAGTGCCAACACAATACCTTGAAAGTATCTAAGACGACAGGTAAGGTGAGACCGGAACAAATTAGAACGGGGTAGGGGGCAGGCGTGACACCCTTGCCCCCAGTGCAGCCGTAGGCATACGAACAACTGTTTCTGCACACAGAGTGCGGGTTTCATACGGCTGATTTGCGAGACGTAGAAAACGGCGTTAGTTTGTCTTAACAGGATGGTAAACATTTTGGCCGGATCAAACTCATGACAGGTGGCCAGTAAACGCATACCAATGGATGAAGCAGGTGGCTTACGTGAACTGGTGATATGAGCAACTGACGACTGGGTGAGTGGACGCTGCAACCATTTAGGTACGTGTTCCCTTATTCTGAAGTTCAACGATCTATTCGTACGGCCGATGTAGTGTATACCACAACTACATGTAAATTGGTAAATACAATGTGAGTTGGCGCCAAAAGGTTGTGTTTCAGTCATTGGAGTAACAGGTATTCGATTAGTCCGGTTGATAAGAACAGTTTCATTAGCATAATAAGTCCTCTGGAGTGCAGAAGTTATGGGCTTCGTTGTTCTCATATTGGCAATATCACCCTTAAATGGCAGCTCGATGTAGACCTTTTTGGACACTGTCGAAACCTGTTCCGGCACCCGCACCTGACTATGTTTGTCGATGGATCTCGGTACATCATAAGTTTGCTCGTTGGCTGATGGATGTTCTTATGCCGTTAAATCGGCAGACTGTCCCACACTGTCTGAAGGACTCTTTCGAGCTTACAGAGACTTTAGATGAATTCAACCTATCCGATAAATTCATGGCCACATTGGATGTACAATCACTTTTCATTAATGTTCCGGGAAACAGCGCGATTCACTTTCCGGAGGCTATTCTCATGATTGTACAGAGGCTTGTTATTGGTATGAAATCTTCCGCCAATTCTTCTACACAAACAAGTAGGGTCCAGTGCGATCGCGCTGTACCAAATAGTTGCTGCAGTTGTGAGGACTACGTTGCGCTCTGTATGCACGCTATTCTGTATATTTTACCTTTATGCGTCTTCCACTTTATCGCTGGATGAATGATGGTTCACATGTAACACGGTGACAACTGATTTCCGATGCGAATGTGATCAGATCACTGAACTTACCAAGAAACTCCATCCAAGTAATATTGATGGAATCATTATCCAAAATCTCGTAGGTGGCTTCTCCAGCCAGGGCTGTTAGTAGTTTATAATGTGTAATGGTATGGAACAAGCCAATGTGTTTCTGTGGATACTCCTTTAAACCCAATTAGGCGTAAAGTATGAGGACGTGATCACTCAGAGTTGGTGGACGCTCTATCGTAGGTTTATCGATCATGAACGGTTCGCTGGTGAGCACTTAATCAAGCACTAATGGTTTATGTCCTGCTCTGAATTTGATGTGCGAACTGACATAGTTGAAGAGAGAAATGCTTGCAATAAACTTGCAGGTTAACCTCAAACTGCTCACTGACGGGATGCCAGAACTTCCGCATCTTAAATATTAAAGTCGCCTGAGATGAAAACATGGCTGTATCGTGGTTGCAGGACTTTACCCAAACTGATAACAACCGGGTGGATATTAGGGGACGATAATCAACTGTCACAAGGCAAGTGTCGTTGCCTTTCGGTCGTAAACGGTGCCAGAACAATTCTATTATCGTTGTTCATGGAGCGTTCATAGGTTCACACTGCTGGCCACCGCGGTTGGATGGAAGTATCCCACCTCCCTTACGGGGACGATCGTTTGGAACAGAGGTTATATCATGCATCGAAACTTCGCAGTCGGTCCTATCTGAGTGCAGTTGTTAAGATGAACTCCCAAGTGTATGATGCTTGAGGTAGCCTCAGTTCGGCAAGCTTGATCAGTAGCTCGTGTGCATCGGTGTGCATTAACGAAGGTTTCGCTGTCGTCTGTGAGTCAGGGGAGGTATTTTGGGTGTGATGTTGTGCCGACCGGTGAAGGTCGTAAATTGACTGTTTTTGGGTTCAGCAATGAAGAACTCATTTGTGTCACATCCAGGGATTCCGACATTTCCTACATGCTCATCTCTTCGTAGTAACGAATGGTGTAGAAAGGTCAGGTTCATCAGCGGGAGGAGTAGTGTTATCCGATCCATTGCTGGTATGTGGTTCGATTAAATTGCTCCTGTCGTGTGGTTCCTCAGGGGACGCTATTTTGAGTCGGGTCACTACAATCCGAACCCTCAGCTGTATAAGAGTGTGGCGTTTATTTCCTGAGGGAGAATACCAGTCCAACCTATGATCAGAAAAAGTTTCCGGTCGTCTACTTTAGGCTCGTGGTGTCCAGAACATTGGGCTGCTGAAGTTAGATTTGTGGGTGTTTCAATACTAAAACAATCGGGTGAACGCTTTGTACAAGAACTGGCGTAGTTTTCTTTCCCATTAATCTAGCGAGCTGTTTCAAATTGTCCATGCTTGAATCAGATAGCTCACGAACGTTCTTGCAGAGAGTGCGTTAGGTGGGAGTGACCTGTCATAATGAATTCAGGAAACACCTTGAGGAAGTGTTCATCAATCATTAGTTCTCATAATTCATTATGAGCTTCATTCATCTCTTTATAAGAATGATTCGGGTGTGGAGTCTTCATTGTCCGTCATATCAATTGGTACTGGTTATTTCATTCATCTCTTATGCACACCGATATGTGTAGTTTGCCAAAACAACAAATGACGCAATGTTCATCTGTGTTTTGTAGACTTTTGCGTAGAGCCAAGAGGCTGATACTGCAATCCTCAATGAATGCGGACAGTCAGTCTACGCTGCGCTTGCTACAGCCAAAGTCCCTAACCCGAGGCACAGTTAGGAAGAACCAGAGGAGTGACACAACAGGCTCGTTTAATGTGGCCGCGGATTTAACCCATCGTTCCCAAGCAGAAGACCTGGAGCAGCAGAGGAAAAACTATAATCGAACTGGAAATAAATGTCTAACAGATCAGTTACGCATCGCTCAAAATTTTACAATAATTGTGGATCGGAAGGTCAAAGATTTTATTCATAACCTACATTAGCAGCTCAAGTCAAACTAGTCATTCGAACATTTTTACTACGGTCTGACGCTGCAGGGTACTCCTACCTCTTCCCCAACTAGTTAACTGGGTGAATGTTGGCGTCATGCAATACTTCCATATATCACGTAGTATATATAAATAAATAAATAGTTTTCTTCTCGATAAAACGAGACACACAGGTACAGGCATGACATGCTATTCGTTTATCCCGTATCCTAGGCAACCATGCCTGTCTGAATTTGAATGATGCATGCGTACGTCCATCGAGATAGTGCTAGGAATGCTCAGGAATGAAGCAGTTCCTTTTGCTACATACGAAATTGAATAGACTAGTGTCTAGTAGCGCTCAGAATGTCAGCCACAAACACTGGACAGCGATTTACATCTGCTATATACAGCGCGGCTTGTTTTTGCAGATTCATCGCAGCTAGACGCAATCAGACAGTCACTAAACATTCAGAAAGTGCTAGACAGCCGTTTTGTTCTATCAGGACTCATCAGTGGCGTGCATCCGCCGAACGCTGTCGGATCCGAACACATGACCGAACTCTTAAGAGCCAACGACTCATTCCACTGAGCCATGGGTGAGGGCAGCAGAATTCCATGACTGATATCTAACTGCGATATAGCGCGACTGATCCTCTACTGTCATGTAGGTTATGAAAATGTGAAAGACAGGGCTGGCCCACAGAGCTACGACTAACTGTGCAAGCTGCCACCAGTTGAGCTGCTAAGCTGCTGAGGCTGATTATTCCTGAATGGTAAAGCGATTTATCGCGCTTTGAGAAGTTTCATCGCGATCGGAATAATCCTATCGGGACCACCCCTTCGTCCTGACGCTGTGGGTGATCTTAGCCATCAATACCTGCTGTATTGCTGGATGGTTATCCGACCTTGGGAGACTGATACCATAGTTAAGCTAGGTGGGGTGTTTTATTCGAGCTGGATACAATCCATGCTACCGAATGTGAGTGTAGATGTTGTCAGCGGCAAAAATGGTGGGAAGCTAATGGGCCATTGTCTATTCACAGTGTTAACTCTGACTACATATATGAAATGAAACTGCAAATCAAACTTTAAAAGCAGAATCAACATGTCCGGGAGATTATACACGCACGATGAGAAGAACGCCTCGGTTATAACACAGCGTTCATTGTTAAGCAATGGGCCGACATCGATCCAGCTTTCAATAAGCACTCTGAAGCGCTGCATACTTTTAGTCGATAGCATTAGTTATGTACATGGTGTGTCTCAACTACAACGTGCTTGCTAGACCGAGCAAAAGCAAAATACCTCAAGGTCTTCGGTAACTCGTGATAATGTGTTCACTACAGCCGTTCACTGATCAATTTCATACATCTTTCAACTCAGCTATACTATGGGCATAACGTGATGGCAGGAACTTAACGCTTTCTCTGAGTGTGCATTAATGGTAACGCAAATGTAACGGTCCGTAGCGTCAGTTTCCAGGGCCTCATGTTGCTGTAGTAACAAGCAGTTGCCACATCTTTATATTGACGACGACACACGTGTGGGCATTGCTGCTCCAATCGCATATCCACTTACTAATATTGCACACAATATAAACCATTTCCGTCTAGAATATTGTACTATCACTTTCTTACTCTCTTTCACCTCTCTTCTTGCGGTATGATGCACATACTTGGATTCAGGGAGGAGTAACTGGTTAGTCAGTCCAGCTTTTTCTGATCGATCTATATCCCACAAACTAGAGAACAGATCAGCTCAGCGCCCATTTTACTTTGGCACATGCCACTTAAGTAGTTAGAAATCGCAGAGAAACCTTAAAAAGCTGTGAGATAATTATTGGATGAACTGAGGGAGTCAGTTCATCTGGAACCTAACCAATGTCCACTGCTCGGCACTAACATGCATGGCAATGGAGAAAGAGCAGCGTCACGGCTGCCCAAGTCAAAATGGCTGGAGTCAAGGGATCTTAGAGGTAAAGTCGTGGGTTTGAATGCCGAACAACTCGGCGGATGATGACCGCTGATGAGTCTCGACGGAACGAAACGGCAGTCCAGTGCTTTTCAGGAGTTGATCTTTCCGTCTAAGTGGGAGTGACTGCAAAGAACTTGCTTAATTTTTTAAATTTATTGTTTCAATTTGTAACGGCGTTCAATACGGCAACCGGTGTCATTCAACCCGAGCGAAATCGTTCATTTACACCACTTCACAAAGGCTACGTTACAAACTGTTTATATCGTTTCTAAGGTCATCTTACTGTCCAGCTGACAATACCAGCGTGCGTATATCACAGAGGCAACTGGTTAACACCGCAGTAGGCTTAGCCGTGATTGAATTACAATCGAGCCGTAGCCGGCCGAAGTGAGCGCACACGCGAGAGACAGCGTGGGGCGCCGACATCGAATTCGTTCCATGAACTAAAAATATCCAATGAACTAGACGATCGATAATTGCTAGTAAGAGTGAATCCCGCAGTCACAACGTGGATAAATGTAAATTTTTTCAACAGTAGGCCTCAAAGCGGGACTAGAATTTTGCAACCGTACTGACACATTTCAACCTGTGTCATCCTGATATCCGGCGAAATTTGGAGGTGTTGAAATTTAGCAGGCGTGGTTTGTTTCTACTCCACACCCTAAGATATCCGTTGTCAACGGCACATCTCAGCTGATACCGAAGCGCAACCAACTGCATAAGACAGTTGACCAGCTTGCGAACAACAAGGTTGCACCATTGGAAGCAAACATTGCGCTACTTTTGACCCAGTATTTGTGATCAAGACCTATCTCTCGTATGAAGAATAGAACCAGCATTTGCAGTCGTTTATCTGCACTTGATAGAATACCCGTTACTTCATTCTTAAGTTCTCAGTACTCGCACGGAAACACCGTGAACAAGTATGGTCCTGTGCACGCTTTTTCCCGTATTCTTTCAAGGCGCCTGCTACTGGGAATATCCCGAAAGATGCGGACTGAATTGGACCTATTCCGGAGACGAACTGTTGATAGCAGAACGGCTTCCGCTTCATTGGCGGAAGTAAATACCAAACAGAGCAATTTTGGTTCACCGTATTGCTTAGAGTGTGAGTGACGGGTCACCAGCATCAACAAAACCTAGGATCTCATATATAAACCTGTACTGGCTCACTTCATTTTGTTGCTTCCCTTGTAACGAATTTTACTTCAAGTCTAGAAGGCTGATAAAACTCATTGACGATACGATGTGCGTTCTCTTAATGACCATTTCTGCAGCATTGGTTGACGTCAGCTGCCCCGATGGTCTGCATATGATCGGTAGAGGCTGTATTAGCATAAGGTTGCCTCCTTGATTTACTTTAGATCCAGTGGTCTTGGAAGGAGCCCTAAGTCACCGTATGCTCTTGATAGCAGCCACATTCCTACCAGTACTGTTGCCCACACCCTTCTTGAATTTTAGAACAACTAGTAGTATAGACAGGTCTCTGGGTGTATTTGTTCCAGTCGGATTGAAGGTGGTCGGCTCGTGCGTCTGTTGAGCACTGGTTATACTGAAAAGCTGCCTGACATTCGAAGCTAAAAGTGACACTTTATTAACGGGCTGCCAAGCTCCTTCATTAAGACAGAAGTTAGGCCTGCTGGAGAGAGCTGTCGCACTTTTTCTGGTGAAGAGATTTTCGGATTTCTTATTTACTAAATGTTTACCGCTAGTGGTTCCTATTTCTGAGGTGGTTCATGTGCAATCTTAACCATTAGGATAACCTACTGCACAAAACCATATAGGATGTAGTTGGCTGTTGCACATAAGTGCCACGTTTGATTTATGGTTAGCACCCTTTCCATGGAAACGGCTACGGCAGTTGGAGCACTGGATTCCTGTTCGTGCTTTTTTCTATCAGGAAGTTAGTGACAGGTTCCATTTATCCTTAGTTGCATGAGGCTGAGCATTTTTAATCAGCCGTTGCAGCCCATGGCGTTGCTTGTTCGGATATCCATGTCTCCAAGGTCAATGCCTGAAAGCTTGAGAGTAACTCAAGGTTGGTGCGCGTGTGTGCATGACTGCCTGCTGCAAGCTGAACTGGCACGATCGCGTGACAGCAAGTCCGTAGCATGTCGTGAGGAGTCACAGTGTGTTGAGTGGCAGGTTTAAGCGACTGGCACTTGCGAGCAGAACCCTGAGGTGTGAAAAAGTGACCAAGCCATCAAGGAAACAAGCTGTAAGCTTATTCATTTACCGGCCGACAGCTTGGGTTGATTGCTCTTTATACAGGTATCAGATTCGACCTCCGTTTGTTACCACAAAGATTGCTGTGGTGCAAGGATGTGCAAAATTACGTGCTTGTGTTTTACGGTATGTGTACAGGACGGCGATGCTGAGGTAAAATATGCTCTGACAAGTTAGATCCCAAAGATGGCGTACACTAAATAGCGTTGGTTAATTTGCATCGAATTAATGAAGTCACACGTATGTGCGACGAGAATTGTAAGAATAAATCATGGCAACGTCTTATATTGATTAGATAAAGAAGTTTGTTTTCCGGCAGTAGCATGGTGTGCCTAAAGAGACTTCCAAGGAACTCTGACCAAGTAATAGGAGGAGGTCGTTACGTAGGGCAAAATCTTAATTGGAATAACATGTTGCCGATTGTATGCAGCAACAATGTACAACAAAACTTAATTCTAAATTGCGGTTTCCAGGTCAATGAGCTATAAATGATGCTTTTTAGAGCTGGTCGGTATGGAGTTTCTCATTCGTAAGCAAAAGCTCAATTACAGACTTCCTACGGTTCTCTATCCAACTGGTGCCATTGCCCAATCATGTAATGAAATGTCTGCAGTGCTCTTTTGTGTATCAATTGTAAGCTGTTCACTGTGGGGCGCCCAGGCTTCTGGCTCGTGTGCGCTAAATTTACTTGCGATGGTTTTTTAAGTAACCCCAAACTTCCAACTAGACGAATACCAGGCCAGAATTCATCCCTGTAGTAAGCATGGGGTGGGATATACGACACCTAGATGCATGCATCTTTAAATCTCAGTCGTAAACATCACTAGAGTAGGTAAATGAACATCGCCACTGTGTCATTCATATTGTACCTTAGGTCGGCTAGACATATCCCCTCCTTTTGTGGGACGGGTTTTCTAACTAGTGATATTTGCTGGATAGGTAAC